CATTTTAATTTGTCCCAAAAAGAATATCACTTTACTATAATTAGAGATAATTTTACTTTAAATTCTTCTTTTACCCTTAAAAAAACAATTTACAACCACACAAGTATTTAAGAATTATTTTAAACATCAAATTTCAAAAGTATTTCTTTTTTTCTTAAACACCATATCAAGTTAAAAAGTGACATAAAACAAGACGGGGAAAACATGAAAGAAAAGAAAATTATTGGTAATGAAATCAATTAATAAAAAATTAAAATTTTATACGAGTTAGATATGACTCATTATTTTGTTCATTTTGAGTCATTTCATCTCAACTAGAGTAACCTTTGAGCAGTTATCATCTTAAATCATTTTGATTTAATTCAAATTTTAACTTAGCTCACTCATTTGTCACCTTTAATTTTTTTCAACATCTAATTATATAAAACTTGTTTTTGTATAAATTTTGATAAATATAAAATTAAAAAAAATAAGATATAATATTAAAAAAAATTATGACATTTGAAGATAATGATGTCCATTCTACGTACTTTGTATATTTCTCCATCTGCCAACATTAGCATCCTCTTTATATGATAATCTTCTAGACATGCATCATCATCTCCTTCAGAAGAAACCGCACAAGGGAGTAATTTCAGGTAGTACGTGTTCGTTTATTTTCACCTGCCGCACAGACAACATCGTCTTCATCTCAAATAAACTGAGTCTTGTTGTCGATGGTTTGTGCTAATTTACAGGATGGTGCTAGCAGAAATAGATTGAAGGTTTGGTTGAAGAAAAGACGGATTCCTTAAACAGTAGGTCAGAAGTTTGAAGCGTGCAAGTGGAGCGGGTTGACAACAGAATTTTGTCATTGGATGGGGAGGCGGGCGGACTTCGCCATCCCTTGACGACAGCAACAGCCACGAGAACTTCTCACAGACACTGCATAAAGAGACTTGAAGCACAACACTGCAAATGTGTTGTACACAGGACAACATTCTGTTACTTGGTTCAACATTTATGATCGACACCAATTCCATCCTAAGTTGCAACACAACACTGCATGACATTAGATATTGATGAAATATGAAGGTGATTTAGTTACAAGCATATTCAAAAAGAGAATCAAGTCGGCTTATAATAAGTAGCATACGATTTTTCCTCTTCAAGGAGTGTGTGCTATCAGCCACATTCATCTTGCCTCTCTACAGCTTTCCTTTCTCCTTCTCTGATTGAGAAGTTCTGCAGACACGGTGACCAAAACATGCAAGGAAGGACCTCCACAAAATCAAGTAGAGATGACTATCAAAGACCAAGTGTAACAGTACCCAGTAAAATATTTTAACTGCTATATTTATTTAACCATCCTTCTGCAACATTTGGACGTCTTTCAAGCACCACTGTGGAACATCCATCTCCCATTTCATAGCCCTTAAAACATTCCAGAATAACAGACTAACTTCAAGTAGCTATAAAACTTGTATCAATTTCTCCCTAGTCTGGACTGATTACACTTGAAACATGTCCGTCCACCCACTTTTCCCTGCTAGTAGATGAGCTTCCGGGCTTATGAATCTAATGTTCCTGCCTCAAACCCCACAAGAAAATTCTTAGGAAAAAATATGAGCATACGTGGTTATACAAGCCTTTACTCGTCTATTTCCAGCCCCTTCTGGCAGGCATTTGCACCCAGGCTCACCTGCTCTTTCTGGTCTGAAACAAGTTGAGGGAGTGGGTCGGGGTTATGGTTAAAAAAAAAAGTTGAGAAGCACAACCAGGGTCTTCACCACTAGTAATCCACCCCCTCCATCCAAAATAAATATCATTACAAAAACAGAAGTCGCAAAGTGAAATTTCAAGACTCAATGCAAGTTGTTAAAATTGAACAAATGAAAATGTCAAGACTTCTCCCAGTTGCAAGGATTCAAGGCCAAGAGTTTATACATGTCTTTTGCAGAGAAACAATTCAAAGAATGACAGCTTCGCAGTTTGGATTACAAACCAAGTAGGGTTATTGAAGTCCCTTATGATGCCACCAGAACACAAATAAAAACTAATCAACAACAGGGGTGGAGATATAACACTAGCTCCTTCCAGTAATCAACTTACAAAAATCCCACTTGCAACAAACCAAGAAATACCCCAGTTTGCCTCTTAAAGAATGTATACAAGGGATGGTAACAGCAAAACGATGTCATCTTTCCACAATACAGAAGATTTGAAAGAAAGTATCAAAAATCAATGAGGACAGATCCATTATAGGCTCAAATAAGAAACCCCCATCTAAAAAAGAATGCACAAGATATCAAAACTTAACATTTGTACATCTTTAGCAGATGAGGCAGTAAAGTACCTTTACTGGCTTGGGCAGAGAATACGAGTATCTGAAGTACGGAAAATAAATTTGAAATTCTATGTATGCCAGGTTGTAGATAAGCTCCTCAACCTGCTTTCCTTGATACTGCAGTGACATTTATAGATTTTAATTCTACATCAAAAACTGAAAATTTCCTAACATAAAATACAAAAAGAAACCAAAAAATGTAGACCCGTTGTTTGGCATGCAAGCCAAAAGGAACATGGGTATCCATGTTCTCAACAAATGAGATAGAATAAACCGTAATACAAAAGTCAGAAACAAAAATGGAAGCAACCTCCAAGGCACTACCTATATATGGAATCATGCTAAAGGAAAAACAAGGGTAACCAAATGCATCAAGGGAATGAACTGCTTGCAATTTAGATAGTGTCACAGCAAGAAAAACGAATCAACATTTCCTTCCAAACGGAAAAAATATTTTTTTTTCAAGTAACTAAGTCAATAGTACTTTCAAGATCAGGTCTTGTTTCATCTTGCTTGGCAAAACTTTGTTAATTAGAAACCGGGTGATGCTTTCAACCAAAGAAAATGGTTGGTCTTTCAACCTAAGTCCAGCATTTTGAATAATCTTTGAAAGAAACAACTTAAACCAAATCTTTAAGATAATAATGTCATCCATGGTTAACTTCCATTATCAGCATTCCACCTAGCAGTCAGTAACTTCAGAACCCCATGTAGATAAGAGAGGTTAACTATAGTTGGTCCCTAAAACATGCAATGATTCTGAAACAAATCCTACAGAAAAAAATTAATCGTGCAGCTTGTTCATAATATCACAATATAACCTTTAAATGATTTTGAAAACGTCATCATGACTTCACATCACATTTGAATGACATCACTAAGACATGTACAGGAATATGTAGTCATTCACTACTAAGGTTTGTCCCAAAAAACAATGGAACATGTGATATTTATGCGTCCTAATCCCTTGTGATCCAGACAATGATGTGCAACCTGCCCAAGAAGATGGAAAGGGCCAGACGAAAAGTATGGAAGTAAACAATAATGAAAAGTCAAAGCTGTGAACATGGAGAGCAGTAAAACATTCGATGTTGACGGGAAAGCATATTGTCATCCTTGATTACTATCCATGTATTCAGGTCCAATAATTACCTTCTTATGTGCAATAGTTTCATTGAAATTCTTCATCAATGAAAAAGCTAAGAATTCCCCATCAGCTTTACACCACCATCTCTTGCAACAGAATATGAAAATTAAAATCGACATACTAGAAGTACGAAACCAATCCATATGTTTAACAAAATCAATTTCAAGATCATTGTTTACACTGCCAATGGGAAATATGCTACATACACGAGTTTCAATTGAAACTGTTCCTTAACAGGTAAGCTCACTATGCCACCCCTGCCATGCAAGCAGTTCCAGAGATTTTGACAAGGCACCAGAGCCCAGTAGGTCAACCTGCAACAGATCTGATAACGCATAGCCAAAAGAATTGTTTCTTGATCTAATTGTCAGATAAGCCTGCTAAAAAACAGCTGAACTGATCGTCTAGCAAACAATTTTTGCAACTTCCTTTAAGTGCATGGCTCTAACCTCAACCACATCAACCCATTAGTATAAGAGAAAGCAAAACTCAAACAGTTACTGAGCACTATTCACTTATCTTAGCCAAACAATCCACCAGTTCCCAACACCCCTTGCTTCAGTTCCTTTCTTCGCTGCTCCTCAAGAGGATCTGGACTCTTCATTACTCTTCGCACACGCCTAAAAACAACACAAAGAACATCAAATAACAGTCCAAGGAACTAACCGAACTGCCATATGAAAATTAGCACTGAAAGGAGATTTACCTATCTTGTGCATGCTGTGCAGGGAAAGTAGGCATGAATTCTTTAGACTTGGGGAGAGGAACTTCACGAAACCACTCATGGTTCAACGCAGCATCGGCATATAGTCTCTGCAATATGTCATATAAACATCAATATCAAAAAGGTAAAAACAACATAAAAAAAAATTTAGAAGTTCCCAAATGTTATTGCCATCACCTTTGCAGGATCATAAGTCAGAAGCTTATTCAACAGGTCAAGGCCAGACTCTGATAGATCTGGTTTTCCCATGAAGGATGTTGTAGGGCTTTGAAATTTATTTCTTAAATTATTAAACCTGTTACAAACAAATCAAATGGTTAGTAGAAACATGAAAATATTTCTCCACCATAGATTGTCATCAGAGGAGGCCAGAAAGCCAAACCAGAATCACCCAAAGCTGGAAGCCTGGGAAAACAGCGGCAAAAATAAAAACATGAATCTCTGGCCGACAAGAGAAGCAATAGAATATAGAAGAAGATAATACTTACTGATGCTTTACAAAGTTGACCTTCACCCCAGGAAGCTTGGAAAACCCTGGCCAAATCGTCTCATTAGGGGTGCCAAGAATTCTGAATATCTGGTAAGAAAAACCACAGAAGTATATTAAGAAGACTTCAAACTCATGGTAAATGTCATCAAAAATCAAGTAATTCTCCATCAGCAGCTAGAAAGATACCTTGTCAATTTGATCAACTTCTGATTTCCCATTGAAGAGTGGTTCTTTGCATAGCATCTCGGCCATGATACAACCAAGTGACCACATGTCAATTGCAGTAGAATATTGCTTGGCTCCCAACAGAAGTTCTGGCGCCCTGTATGCATAAAAAACTAATCAATCACTGGCTAAATAGAAGCCAGCTAGGCAAGAACTCAATAGAAACCTTCATCTACATACAGACACACGGCAATAGAAGTATGAGTATCTACTTAAATCTTTTCAGATTAATGAAGAATAAAAAATGAAACTCACCTGTACCACAAAGTAACCACCAAATGAGTGTATGGTTTCAAGGGGCTCCCATATTGACGAGCTAAACCAAAGTCACAAATCTTCAACTCACCTTGGTTGTTTAGAAGCAAATTTGAAGTCTTCAAATCTCGGTGAAGGACCCAATTATCATGAAGATACTTGACACCATGCAAAAGCTGGAGCATAAGACATTTGACTTCACTTTGGGTAAATGGTTTTTTCATTGTCTCCATTAATGCCTTCAGATCATGTTCCATGTACTCCATCACCATAAAAATACTGTCAAGACTGCTTCCTACAACTACTTCTTTGACATCTACAATTGAGGGGTGATGAAGAGAAAGAAGAATGTTAATCTCCCTGAGAGATGTCAGGGGAAATCCTTCTCGTTCCTTCTCCATCTTAACCTTCTTTAGTGCAACAATTTCTCCTGTCTTCTTATCTTTAGCTCTGTAAACAACCCCATAAGTGCCTTCATCTATCCTGTTAAGCCGCTCAAATTCATCGACGCTTCTACACCCCTGCAGCATGTTTACGCTCCTTTGTGGAGGAAGCACAGCCTCCGGTGTACCACGAGAATCATGTTCATCTTCAGATTCTGTATCTGAGCTAACACTAGTCCCATCATAATTGCGGTCCTTATCCACATCCATCGAGTCATTCTTATCTAATTCATTGCCCTGGTAACTCTCTCTGCTGCAAGACCTAATATGTTCATCAGAGTCTGAAGACCTCGTTCTATTCCTCCGGAGCCTTCTCTCTTGAGCTCCTCATATTCTGGAGTTAGTGATTTCCTGCGTCCACCCATTTCAGCTGACTGGGAAACTGCTCGTCGCTTTTTCAATAGGGCGTATCATCACCTGAAATCTCACCTTCATCAGCTGGAGAGTCAGCATCAGTTGCCCATCGAGATGATCTTATAGTCGGCACGGGCACATATTCCTCATCTTCTACTTTCCTGGTTTCCTGACTGGGCAATTGCTCCTCATCAACAGGTGGAGAACATATGTCAACTGGAGATTCATGAGATGCATCCATAAGTAAACCAAGTGCTGTATTTGTATTACTTGGGGATGGCTCCATACTGTGAACATTATTAGTTCAACAGAGAGACCTGCTCAACCCTTTCAGGGGGGAAATTAGCCAACTGGCCAGATGACTTTGGCAATGGAGGCGGAGGAGGTAGCTTAGCAGCTGCTGGTGAATTTCTACTCTTTGACATTCTATTCACTTCCTTATCTTCCCTATCCCATATAATTGGAGAGAATTTTCGTTTCTTGCTCTGTACAGAAGACTGATTCCCATTGGCGGTTCTTGGTCTTCTGGTCTGACTCAATAGCCCCATCAGACCCACTCTCGCTAGACAATTCCCCAGGCTCTCGGTCAACAGCCCTGACACTAAGCCCACTTCTCCTCATTCCACCACCGATCACCATTCACTAC